CCCCGCCCCCCGCCCCCCCCCAAAGTTTCCCTTTGTTCCTTTTCCTGCCTGGTCGGAAACTCCACCAGCCCTGGAGTTCCTGCCCCTCCTGTGTGATAGTGAGCAGAGTGGAGGGGGTGGGATGTAGCCTTGGGACCTTCAGCTCAACAGTGGAGCCCAGCCAGAGCAACTGACCTGGGGAGACAGTTTCAAGGCCTCCAGCCAGAGGCTTGCTGTTGAGGGGGCTTGGGAGTTGAGTGAGGGTAGGGGTCCCCTAAATTTGGAGTCAGAAAATCCCAAATTCTACCCCTACTTCCACCACTATCCTTGCTGTGTGACGTTGGCAAGGCAAGTCAGTTCCCCCTTTCACGGCCTCAGTTTCCCCCTCCCCACATGAATTGGGAGTTACTATTGTCTTCCTCTCTGGGCTGCTGTGGTGAGAACTAAATGAAAGAGTTGGTGTGAAAGTGCTTCATCAGCTATACAATACTGTGTCCAAGCAGGTTATGATTGTTAAAACTTATCCTTACTATTTGAAAGGGCGAGGGCTATGCCCTCCATCTTGCCCCGTATCCTCCATGTTGGGGCAGCAGCCATGTGCTCAGGAAAGTACCTTCTTCCCTGAAGCCGGGATTTCTTTAAACTAACCAATGACAATCAAGGAACCTGCGCGCCGGCCCACAGTCATCTCGCCTCCCCTCACTCCACCCCCCTATTAAAACCCCATTTTTTCCCACCGGGGCGGTCTCTCTCGTCTCGCCGTTGCGGTTACTTCGGTGGAGGCTGGGAGCCAGACCTGGGTCTGTGGTAATAATAAAAGACTCTTTGCTTTTGCATCGGACACGGCTGGCTCCCTGGTGTGGTCTATTGGGGATCTTGAAATCTGGGCATAACACTATTAAGGGAGGCAGTACTGAATGGGCTTCAGAGACAGGCTGCCCGAGTTGAATCCTGCCTTTGCCACTTACTAGGGTTATGACCTTGGGCAAATCCTTTAACCTCCTGTGACTCAGTTTCCTCATCCATAAAATGGTCATATACAGTTTGACTTCATAGTGCCCTTGTAAGGATTAAATGCATTTAAAAGAGTTCCTGGCACATGAAGTGGCCAATAAATATTTTTTTAAATATTTTTTTTATTGATTTTTTTTTACAGAGAGGAAGGGAGAGGAATAGAGAGTTAGAAACATCACTGAGAGAGAAACATTGATCAGCTGCCTCCTGCACACCTCCTACTGGGGATGTGCCCGCAACCAAGGTACATGCCCTTGACCGGAATCGAACCTGGGACCCTTCAGTCCGCAGGCCGATGCTCTATCCACTGAGCCAAACCGGTCAGGGCGGCCAATAAATATTAACTACGTATCTCTCTGTCTCTGTGTCCTGGGCTATCAAAGGCCCCCTTTGTGGTTCTGTGCTGAGCACTATGTATTTTGTCTCACTTATTCCTCACAGCATTGGGTTACATTATTATACCCATTATACAGACTTATTTAAAAAAAAGGCTCAACTGCAGAGGCTGGCCGAGGAGGTCACAGTGAGTAAGAGGAGGACCTGGGATATCTGCCTGATCTGGATCTGAAACCTTGACACTTACCTCTAGGGCCTCTCCACGCCGCATGCCGCACCTAGGACAGTGGGAAAGGTTCTGACTGACCCATCCTCCCCTTGCCGTGACACGTGGCTTCCGGAGACCCAAGCTCTGGACCTGAGTTGCTATAGGATCCAGCCCTAACCAGTTTGGCTCAGTGGACGATAGAGCGTCGGCCTGCAGACTGAAAGGATCCAGGGCAGGCTGCTTATTATAACCTCTCTGGGCCTCAGCTTCTTGTGTTTCCAATGGGAACAATAATCCCAAAGCCCTGCCCTGCAGTCAGAGGTGTGACAAGAAAGAGATCAGGCCCTGGATGGGGGAAGCTGTTGCAGGTTGTGAAGTGCAGTCGCCAAACAATGCACAGGATTGTTTTGGAAGCTTTTCCGAAAGCATGGGTGTGCCAGGCCAGTGGCTGTTGGAATGAGGGTCGGAGCTCCTCTTGCCTCTGGGTGTGAGGGCAGCAAGAGACTGCCAGCTACCAGCCTTCCCCCTGACCTCCCTCTCCCTTTCCAGGGAGGGGAAATGGCCCCGACTGCTTCGTGCACGCTCACACAGCCACACCCACCTGCTCCCCTACATCCTGCCAGTCATCTCCTAGCAGCAGGAAGAAAGATCTCCATTAGCCTGCGGGCCAACAGGAAGAAGCCAGACTACTCTACCAATCCCTGACGGCTGCTGACATCAAAACTCCCACGTAACCCCTGGAGTAAGCCTTGAATTCCCAGCAGCGGCAGGGAGTGAAAGGTGATTTCTTGCTCTGGCACCCCCACGGCTGGCTTTGGCAAACCTTTTCCTTCCTCTGTAAAATTAGGACTTCTGTTATTTCTGAACTAACTCCAAACATCACTGAACTGCTGGGAATCTCAGATAGGACAAGAGGTGTTCTGAGTGCCACCAGAATCAGCAAGCTACCTGTGTATTCCCTGCGGGGCCCCCCTCGGCTCCCTCCCAGGGCCATAAAGAGATCCAGTGCTTAGAAAATGTCACTGAGCCCTGACCGGTTTGGCTCAGTGGATAGAGCGTCAGCCTGTGGACTGAAGGGTCCCAGGCAGGTTCGATTCCGGTCAAGGGCATGTACCTTGGCTACAGGCACATCCCCAGTGGGGGGTGTGCAGGAGGCAGCTGATGGATGTTTCTAACTCTCTATCCTTCTCCCTTCCTCTCTGTAAAAAAATCAATAAAGTATATTAAAAAAAGAAAAGAAAGAAAGAAAATGTCACTGAAAGTAGGTGGAGACAGGCGGACCTGGGTTCAAGTGTTTATGACCTTGAACAGGTAGTTAGTTCATCTCTGGGAGCTCAGAGTCCTCACGTGTCAAAAGCAGGATAATGCTGGTGCTGGCCTCAGAAGGCAGCTGCAGGGATTAAATGGAAACAGAAGCACACAATGGTGACATTTATTATTAAAATTAGCTTGTGAATCATAAAAGAGATGAGTGAAACAAAGTCCTTGCTCTCCAAGACTTAGCAGTTGTGGCAAATAGAATTCATCTCTTTTGAGCCACCTCCGGCTGATTGGCAGCGGCTGCCTGGAGCTCTGTGTGTAGAGCATTATAAACACCAGGTCTACTCCCAGCATGAAAAGGGGATTGATTATCCATGCTTGCCATGGGGCAGGAGCGGGGGATGTGACAGCTGGTGTTCAGTGCATATGCTGACCCTGACCTGGTTCGAGAGATGGACACACAGGTAAAGAACTCTGATATAAGGCAAGCGACTAGTTGGGGGAAGGCAGAGTCACCAAGCCAAACCTTGAAGGCATATGGAAGGAAGGTCACTCTAGTCTAGGTGGAGGGAACAGCTTGAACACACACACAGTGCCTGAATTGTGATGCTTTTGGCTGCAAAGAACAGACTACTGTACCGAAGGCGGCTTAGGCAAGAAGGACAGTCTCTTTAGGCAGGAAGTTCAATGGTAAGTGATTTCAGGGCTGGTTAATCGCGCAGCTCAAAAATGGCAGCAAGTTCTACTTTGCTGGTCTTATGGGCTGACTTGTGTCTCCCAAAATTTATACGTTGAAGCACTAACACCCCGTACCTCAGAATGTAATTGTTTCTGGAGATCAGTTAAAATGAGGCCATCGAGAGGGCTCCGATCTAAGCTGACTGGTGTTCCTACAAGAAGAGGAAATCCGTGCACACAGAGACACCGGGGATGTGCACACACAGGGAAGACCGTGTGAGGACAATGCGAGAAGGCAGCTGTCAGCAAGCCAAGGCGAGAGGTCTCGGAAGAAACCCGTCCTGCCGGCATTTGATCTGGGATTTCTGGCCTCGGAATTATGAGGAAATGAGTGTCTGTTGTTTAAGTCCCCAGCGTGTGGAAGTTTGTTTTGGCGCCTCTAGAACTGGCGCCTCATACAGCCGGCAAGATGGCTGTTGCGGCTTTGGGAGTAATACATCCATCACGATCCTGCAAGGGTTTCCTCTTCTTGTGTGTTTCTCTCGTGAGGGAAAACCTTTCCCAGAGATCCTTCAAAAGACTTCTCTCGGGAACCTAAGGACCAGATAGATTAGCCAGAGTATATTTCGGCTGTAACAGAGACCTCAAGAGCAGTGGCCTAGACCTGGTGGAAGCGTATCTCTTCCATCATAAAAGTAGCCCAGGACGGGTGTGGGACCCCCAGGTGTGCAGGGCCCAGGGGCTTCCTAGCTAGCTCCACCGCACAGGGCAGTGATGGCGAACCTTTTGAGCTCGGCGTGTCAGCATTTTGAAAAACCCTAACTTAACTCTGGTGCCGTGTCACATATAGACATTTTTTGATATTTGCAACCATAGTAAAACAAAGATTTATACTTTTGATATTTATTTTATATATTTAAATGCCAGTTAACAAAGGAAAATCAACCAAAAAAAGGAGTTCAGAGGTGACACGAGTGCCATAGGTTTGCCATCACTGCACTAGGGGGCGCTCTCAGCTTCAAGGTGGCTCTCCACACAGCTGTAGTGTCACCAGTGGACGGGTAAACAGAGCCAGAGGAGGGCACAACCCCTCCTTTTATTTTTTGTAATCCTCACCTGAGGATACGTCCTTTTCAGTGATGAGAGAGAGAGAGAGAGATCAATTGACTGCGCCTAAAAGAGTAAAGAGTGCCTGGCATATAGTAGGTACTCAATAAATATTTGTTTTGAGGGGTTAGAAACTTCAGTCTGGGTCCTGATTTTGTCGTGGACTCAGACCTCTGGCAAGTCGGCCCCCACCCCATCTCTTTTTCCCCTTTATCTGTAAAATGAAGCATTTGGAGCTAATTCCTAAAACCTTTGCTCACCCCCTCCATTCTGGTTGCCTGATGGAAGCTCTGGCCAATGAAGGGAGCTGTAACAGCCTAACCCTCCCAGCCAAATGTGTTTG